TATAGACGAGCAACATCAAGTCATGAGAAAAAGAGAACAGATAAACTTCTCGAATAAAATATCTCTCAAAGAGGAATATGTTGAATCAATGAAGCGGTAAAACTTCGACATAGGAGAGACATATATAAGGTATTTTACATTTTATAAATTTTTTACATTTATCGAATATTCGAGAAAGTTTCTCCAACGCTGCTTGCTCTTATAATTTATAATCAAGTCATCCGCGAGGCGCAAAGGATGAATCAAATATCCAATATATTTTGCAGGAAAAATATTAAAATACTTATATCTCGTCAAGCAGAAACTTCGCAGTTTCGAATTAGTTTACATCGATCTGTCGAGATTCTAACGTCAATGATACATGCCGTGTCGTTGTACTTGTATTTTTTTCTGTTCCTTTTATCGAAGTTCACTCATGCTTATCTCAGCATTCCTTACAGATTACGGAAGAAAAATGAAACTTTTGAGTTATGTAGATATACTAAAATGAGATATTGATTTAACTCATGAGAAACGTTACGCAAAAATTTTCTTACGCAGCATATATTTTGCTTAGCTTAGGAAAACATGTAAAATTAACGTCTAAGAAATACTTTACTTCGAATTGATTAACATAAATTAATGACATGTTGTATACTGATAAACGATATATATTTAAAAAATAAAAAAACGCTAAATTATGAAAGAGGAATAAGATAGTTAATTTGAAAGAGAGATCTTACAATATATTTGTTATTAGAATTAATCGTAGAATGAGTCAACTAATCAAAAAAACTGACTATAGGTAATACAATTTTTATATTGATTTATTAGATTTTTTCTTTCTTTCTGTCTCATAAGATATAAAAATTTTTAATCGACTTTACATGTACAAGTAAATTCTTTATGAAATCTTATTATGTTTCAGCCGAACAAAATACTGTACAATGTACCATTCACGAAGTACGCGTTGATCCATGCAGAGAAGCCGAAGAAAGAAAGCCCTGTTCTTTAAAGAAGGGTCAAGATGCAAGCATAAGTTTTGACTACACCCCCCGTAAGTGTATTTAAAATATCATGCATGCTTAACGTACATATAATAATAAGTAATAATGAATAAGAACACACTTTCAACTTTGTAAATTTGTGATTAGAAATAAAATAAAATAGATTACATTTTTATGTATATAATTAAATATTTCACATTTAGTTTGATATTTATATAAGAAATTGGAAAATAAAATATAACAATTAATGATTGTAAGAAATTATTGTAAATCATATTGATATGTTTTGAGCCAAACATGAAACAGAAGAATTTTTGGAATGCTACCAGTGAGAAATACCAATAAAATAATTATATCACGTAAAAGGAATAAAAATTGCTATTCAAATAGCGATTTAATACTCAGCGATTTAATATGAAAAACCATTTATATCACGATCGATTAATTTTATTATATTACCTATTGTAGTATCCAGTAAATACCAACTAACAGTAATATAATATCAATATTATAATTTCACATTCAACAATATAAATGTAATATAACACATATAGTAAGTAACAGTTATTATTGATATAAGTATGAAATTATATAAAGTTGTATATTATGTTATCGTTAATTGGTGTTTACTGAGTATTAAATCCCTATTTGAATAGCAATTCTTATTCCTTTTACGTGATATAATTATGAAATCAATTAAAAATGTTCTTGCTTTATACTTTCATTTTTATTTTTAAATAAAAAGATATTTTTTACTTTCCAAAACATATCAGTTTTGCGATTCAAGCGATCATGCGTGATTATTAACGATATATATATATTTTTTGTTTCAGTATTCAACGGCTCGTTATCTAGTAGGGCATACTGGGCTTCTGAGATCGTAGATTTACCATTCTTAGGTATGCCAGTCGATGCCTGCCCATCCACCACTTGCCCAGCTTCGCCTGGTCAAAAGCAAACGTATTCAGTGGCATTGCCTATCTCTAAGAAATTCCCTACGGTAAGTGATGCTTCGATCTCCATTCTGATTCTTATGTAAATATCTCTACAAGTTTGTTGACATCCCACATAGTTACTTTTTACATTGAAATCTAGTCAAATATTGAAATGCCAAACCGATGTAGAGACATGAAACGTAATTCTAAATGTAATGTCATTTAAACGTAATTCTAAATGTAGAAAGAAAATTTATGTACAACACATAAGCGTTTCTGAAATAAAACGAGTAAATTGATTTTAAAATGTTTTTTAAAAAAATGTCTTCCCTTCTTTTATTACAGCGAACATATGATCTCAAATGGAAGTTGTGGAATGAACAAGGACAAGAATGCTGTTTTATGTTTCAAATTAAATTGGTAAAATGAAATTGTTGTTCTTAAATTTTCAATGTATCATCCTTCGCAATGATTATAATTCGCCAATCAAGAATTTAGTGAAATAAATGATATTCATATCAATAACATTGCGTTCCATTATACCCATCTTTATGTTATATATTTCAAATACAATAAATTTATTAGAATAATAATAATAATTAAACAGATTTATAAAAATATATATATAATTATTATAATCAATTAAAAATTCTCAACAAATACGTGAAAATATTTCGTAGAAATTGTATTAAAAATCTATTTAATTTTTTTTTGAGATGTTTCAATTTTATTTTAAAAATATTTGAAGTATAAGCTTAGATTTATGGAATACATATTAGATTTTTAAAATTATTCTTATCTTGTGTTATTCATATATTTATATACACGTTCTAAAACGTGAAATCAAATCAGTCTAGTTACAAATAAAACTCATTAATTAGAGATAATATTGACTTTACCGCCACGAGATAATTCCTTTTGCAATCGAAGTAAAGCCATTATAATTTATAATAGATGAATACTGCAAGGAAGAAATGAAGAAATCTCTGTAACTGGTATTCATAGTCCATTTTTATTTCAAGATCACCTTTATAAGTAATGTCTCAAATGCTATATACGGCTCTGCGACTGGTTTAGGGCATCTTAAGACGGTTAAATTTAAGAATAGACTATGCGAATTCCAGCCTTTATTCTGCGTTTTTAAAAAGTAAATCCATTTTTATACTAACCAGGCGTCACTTATTTTCTAAATGTTTCAAGTGAAACGCGTTTATATTTGAAATGTGATCAGTGAAGTCTATATGTCATTAGACATAAATTATAATTGCACGAGTTTTAATTTTGCTATTTCCGAAGTGATCTATCTACGGAAACCAATTGGATTTATGAACACACATACACATACACATTGCAAGAAATTGAATTAATAATATATTTTAGTGACCTTTCTGTCCAATAAAAATTGTTAAAAATATATTATTCATTTAAAGAAATATCAGATATTTTTTGTTGTATATATGTCAAGTATAACACAATACATATTAATTTTATTTATTTTATATATTAATAAAAATTTTTTTGTAATAAAAAACAATTTTATTCAAATGTGTGCTCATTTTACTTTAAACTTTATATGATTTTCTAATGCATATATTTATAATTCAAAATCATTTTTCAAATTCAAGTTAATATTTCTATTCACCCATACATTAGCAACAATAAGTTACTAATATAATACAACGACCATGTGATTCAATCTGTATATGCAAAACATCCTTGGACAAACATAAGAAAGACACAATAGACGACACAATAGACGATCGTTCGTTCAGTCACATGTGACACACCGTGCGATGCAAAGGCCCACAATGTAACGCGGCCTCAGATGTCCAATCAAAGACGAGACTGCTAGAAAAATAATTGGCCACAATTGTTAAATTGTGCATTTCCTGATAAAAGTGACCGGAAGACGGTCTCGCCGTCGATTCTGTCGAAATTTACAATACGCGCCAAGTAACGGCGTGCGAGCTCATCTAACTCGCGGTCTCTTAGATCATTTTAAACTCAATCACTTTGATACTTTTGTCTTCAACGAAGAAAAGTAGGAATGTGGGTCATCCGTCGAACATAATCGGAAGCATTATTTTTCATCCGACAGTCAATTAAGTTCATCGATCAAACGATTTTTATTCGTTCAATGTCTATTATTGTTTCTTTCACAATTGTTTCTTTAATTGTTTCTCGTATTTATTTGTCGTCGGGAGGGAATATCAGTTTCATTTATCTTCATAATGTTACATCCATCCGCGGCGCCTGCGATAATTATATTCGTGGGTTGTACAGTAGAGTCAGACTAGGGTACACGAGCAAATGAGCGACCGACCGAGTTAGATTAGATTAATGGCGCCAAGACAGAAGATTGATATTTCAATTACTTATTGTTTGATTGCAAAGTGGTAATCAATAAATATTGCAATACTGATTGAAGTATAAATTTTGGAAATTACTATTTATTTTGATTTGTAGTCTATAATTTTTTAAACTAAAAAAAAACGATTTTAAATTAACTTTCTTAATTTAACTTATCAATATTGATTTGATATTAATATAATTCCATATTAATAATTAAATAATTAAATACATTAATTATTAAAAAAAAAGCTATTTCTATATCAGAACAAAACATCGTTTAACGATATTAAATCTAATTGGCTTTAGCTAAAATTAACGTCACAATATAATTTGCGTAATATGTTTCAAGTACTTTAAACATGAAAAAAATTAATTATCTATCTGCCTATAACTAAAAGAAATCTCACCATTAACGTTATTACACAAGATAAAAAAGAAGTTTCAATGAAATGTATTGTTATCTCACTTTCGTGGATCCACCCATCAAGACATTTCTGTCAGAAGTTACAATTAACGCGACGATTAGCGCGGCCATTGTCAGATGCACGTGTAATAATAAACCAATTGTTAAAAATCTCATTGCACGAAGGAGGCGCTTCCGGTCCGTGTTACAATCGATCGAGGATAACCGTAAATGAAATAATTATCGTCCGAGCGCAGCTCGGCGTGGCCCGAGGTCAGGGGCCATAATAACAGATCACTTGGCCCGACTCGTACGGCATACGTTGTAACAGTTAATGCGCAATTATTCAATTGAAAGCGGTTGATTCACGCAGGAACTGGCCGCGGCAAAAAGTTCAGAAAACACATCGTGTAAATTTTTGCACACTAATTTTCGTCGACGACAATGAAAAGAAGCAAAGAATTGTTATACCGATAACAAATTCTAATAGTTACAAAAAATACGGTATGTGCTTTAAATATCATAATTTTTAATTCTGAAACTATTAATGTTTCTATATTTCTGCTAACAAGCATTGATACTAATTGTACGTGAAGCAAGAAACAATGCTATGTACAAACGTCCCATCAATTCTGGTATTTCCAGTTGTTGCATTATTAAAGCAGCTTTGTAAGCCGCTTAACATTGTGCAACTAATGAACATTTATTGGTATTAAATAAATCCTAGAAGAGAATTTTACCTGCAATAATATCATTTATTAAATACAAAATTTAACAAAACATGTGATATTGTTATTATTATCATTATATTAATAATAATACAAATATTAAAAGGAAAATAATATTAATAATACAATAATAATAATATAATAATTAATATAATAATAGAAATAATTACAGAGAACTAATTAACTGTACAATACTTAATAAGTATATTGTCAGAAGAAATAGTGAAAATGGAGATACGTAGCACCAGCTAGAAACTCTTAATTTGTCTATCGTTCTTAATATATTAATCAGAGCTAATTGCTGGAAATACAATCAAATTTATTAACAATGCATTAATGATGCACATTATTTTTTAATAACTTTACATTCTTACACACACACACACAGTCTATGTATTCTCGAATTAGAATTCTTTCGAGAATAACAGAGTTCTTTTACTCGCATCATAGTGGCGTGTCTTTTCGTTCCTGTGACCCGCGATCACAAGCAGCGATTATTGTTGTCGTTGCGACAAGGGAACAGGTATCGATTCTTTGGTATCGACATAACGCGGCGCATGCTGCCATGCGACCGAAATTTCGGATAATAAAAATATGAGACGAGCAAAAATATATCGCAAAAACTTCATTTTACGCCAAATCTAATTATTCTGCATAAATTATCTATATCTATTTCAAGATAAACAGAATCTTTAAAGTAATACATTCAGTAATAAAAAATTTCACAGTCTCATTTTTTTATATTTTACTGAATGTTCTACAAAATGTTTATATACGATTTTTCAAAATTGGCAGAAAATACCCACCACTTCTCATAGAATGGGGTATAGACTTTTGCAATGTAATGCAACGTAATAATTGAAAATAATTAATATTTATGCAATGTTATCGAAAAAAAGATATTGCAATATTGGAATGTATAATGAAAAAATCTCGGCCATACCACTTGGACGATGTACGTTTCTTTGGCAAACATACTTGTGTGAGATTGTGTTGTTCCCAATGTGCGCAGCTCTTTTCGCGTTTATGTGTATAATCATCGACTTTATCAACGCCACGAATACGGCACACGGTAGAACCGTAACATCGGCTTTCAACCCGCACATATAATCTAAATGTACGTAGTAATCTCATTATTTACCAAACGATACAAGAGTTGAGATCCTCGAGGATCTCTACTCTTCTTGTATAGAAATACAAAAATGATATAAATCTCCTAGGACTACCAATAATTTATCAGTAGTATCGTATTTACATTTTGATTAATTCCCTCGTAAATAGTGATTTATTTCTTATCTGAAAATTATATATTATAATTATACATTAGAGCATTGTCATTCTTCCTTGATGCTCATTTATTATTAATTCTTTGATACAACACAAGAAAAGTGTATAAACAACATTAAGTACATAATTTAAAGTTCATAATTCAAAGTCTCTGTTTTAATCCCAGCATAACTTCCATCGCAAGCCAATTATTTCGCAATATTCGAAGAAACGCATTATCGATTTACGATAACGAGAAAATGCGAAATATTCCAGGAATGATTACGATGATATCTGGATTATATAAATATATTCGAAACAAATATGTTTGAAATTAGCTGAAACGATCAATATGTAGCGTACTTTCGAAAAATTCGTTCGAAAAGACGATATTATACGAAGACTATTAGTATTATAAAGATTTGTAATATCATTTATGATATAACAATAAATAATATATTATTTAAAATATTCTCTTTAGATATTTTAATTTTTCGTACTAGCCTTTTTTATACTAAGTTTTTATTTATTTAAACACGCAAATGTGTACTCAAAATTAATTCTTCAAATTTTAATCTATCTCAAATAAAAGCACTTTTACGTTGATTAAGTTATTATTTTACTAATTGACTACATATTGTCGGATCTTTTTCTCTAGAAAATGTGCAGCGGTGAACTTACAATAGAACAAATTTGTCAACCTAAAGACGTGGCGAAACAATTTCAGCGTTTCGAAGAGCGTAGCTTTCA